TGCTTTTTAGGAATACTAAATTAAATTAATCCAATACTCTCTGGTTTAAAAATAATATAGAGACAAATATTTGGGACATGCTAATTTGAACTTTCCAATGAAAGTTTTTGTCAGGAAGAGGTAATTACTGATCAGAGCAACTGCCCCACCAAGAATCACAACATATTTTAACACCAAAACCCAAATCAATTTAACCAAACCAGTCAAAACCCAAAATACTCTGAATTAAAGTTCTTTCAGTTGCATATCTTAATATTATAAAAAGCCAGGGAGAGTCCTGTTTTCATTATTTTGCATTGTGAATTTCAGAATATCTGAAAGAGCACCAATTTCATTTTGTGATTTGTATGACAAAAAAATCTGTAGGAAGAAATATTAGGGGGTAATTGGAATTAGAGATAATTTATTTCCAGTGCTTGTCAACTAACACACTATTCTTGTTGAAATAGAAATGGTATGCATTCTTCTGTGAGAATGTATTAGGAAATGAACTGACATTCATAAATGGCAAAAACTGCACCAGTTAAGCAAATATAGCAAAATATCCCATGCACATATTTTACAGAGTATTAAAATAGTGATTTTTTTAAAACTAATTAACAAATATATACTTAACATCAAGCCATTGAAACTCCACTGACAGGTGATAAATAGGTATGTCAGGGTTGTTATTTAAAGATAGAAATACTGTAGTACTGGATTATGCTTATACATAGCTAAAATGAAATATCTGGTATAATATGCATTTTTGAGTCATAAATATGATCAATTTTCAAAAGAAAAGTGATGGAAAATTCTATCAACTAACAACTGATATACACAAAGAAAACATCTTTAGATAATTACTTTTAATTTCACATTAAACTATATGAATATTCTGTTATTATATAGCAAGAAAAATTACTAGAATAAAAAAAAAATCCCTCCCTTCAAAAAGTATTCAAGCAGCTAAGGGCTAGTTCACATTGCAAAACGTGTGTGTAAGTGCTGATTGTGAAAGGAAGTCAGGGTTGAAATATGGATCCATTAAGTCCCTTTGCTCTAGAGTAACTAAGAACTAAATTGGTTTGCCACAAAAAAGATGGAGAGGGGTCCTGGTGATGAGCCTTCAAGTTTTATGCAGTGTTCACTCCCAATCCGCTGCTTTTGTTTTTGTTTTGTTTTTAGTACCATTGGGCTGCATGACGAAACTAGGTGTGGTGCATTAAAACGAGGTGAAAGTCCTCTTTCTCCTTATCACGGGAGAAGAGAATTTCTGATGGATTTTTTCCTGTACAAATTTTGAGCTAGACAAGTAAAATTGGAGAAAAGTTATACTTTTCCCCTATAATTTGACTTGTTTTTGGTCAAAATTTGTGTGTTTCATTTGAAATAGGTATTTCTACTGACACCAAAATTATAAAGCATTTATGCTTTAAAAATATATTTTAAATTACTTTTATATTTGTGAATTTCAAATTTTAACCTACCATTTGATCAGTCTTGGCAGATGAATGCAGTGTGTGTGGTTTATTGATTGGTCAGTGCTTACTCTGTGAAAGATTAGTAAGATTTAATTTTTCTCAGTAATGAAGATAAGTATTTGGGTTCTTAACTGTGTTAGAATTTAGTGAAATACAATCTACATTGGTAAATCATTTATCTTAAAACAAGGACTTCCCTCCCAGCTCAGTTGGTAATCTGCCTGCAGTGCAGAAGACCCTGGTTTGATCCCTGGGTCAGGAAGGTCCCCTGGAGAAGGAAATGGCAACCCAGTCCGGTATCCTTGCCTGGAAAATCCCATGTACAGAGGAGCCTGGTGGGCTGCAGTCCATGGGGTCGCAGAATTGGGCACACCTGAGTGACTAACATTTATCTTAAAACAACCTAAACCATGACAAATTGCTAGATAATTCATTTCTCTTTCTTGGGATAATTCAGACTCTATACCCTAAATCTAATTAAATTATGGGAACTAAATTTATTTTTATCTATTTCATGTATTTATTAGACTCTTCATAAAATATTTTCCTCCCTGAGGCATACAGGGTATTGGAAAAAGAATTAAATATTTTTTTCTAGTTTTCTATTACATAATAGTAGTTCTGATTATATCAAAACATTTAGCATCTCTACACTATGAAATATAATTTTGTGGGTTTTGTTTTAATTGATTAGAAGTGTTAAAAGTTTTGTTTCAAATACTGAAATTTAATATTCTTGATAGTAGGTATGTATGATGATTTAATATTATTCTCTTTGAAGCATTTTTTGTTTGAATTATGTGCATGATTAAAGAATCACTTCTTAATGTGAAACAATTGAGAAAATTTGTCTGAACGTGGACATATTCAGTATTCTTATCAATAATAAGGCTTGCCTTTTCTTCTTTGCTCCACAACTCCTCAGGGAAGTAGAAACCCATGATACCAATGCCTATCAATATAATCAACCTTATAAGTATGACAGGGAAAATAACTAGCTGCCTTTAGATGGGGAATTTGGATTCATAAGAGCCCTAAGCACATGTCAAAATTCCATATAGTCTTACCGTATGGAATATAAAAACAACTTATACCAGATCAGTATTTTTTGGATCATGATATTGAGTTTCACCAACTAAATAACACCTTAATCTTCAATTTTCTATATTCAGACACATTTAGCAACAAAACTTTTGTCACCATTGTTAACCTGCTGTTAGAATGATTTGATAGTGTGAACAAAAAATCAGTTCAGAAGAGGTAAAAGCAGCATCATTTTAACAAAATTAGTAAGATTTAATTTTTCTCAGTAATGAAGATAAGTATTTGGGTTCTTAACTGTGTTAGAATTTAGTGAAATACAATCTACATTGGTAAATCATTTATCTTAAAACAAGGACTTCCCTCCCAGCTCAGTTGGTAATCTGCCTGCAGTGCAGAAGACCCTGGTTTGATCCCTGGGTCAGGAAGGTCCCCTGGAGAAGGAAATGGCAACCCAGTCCGGTATCCTTGCCTGGAAAATCCCATGTACAGAGGAGCCTGGTGGGCTGCAGTCCATGGGGTCGCAGAATTGGGCACACCTGAGTGACTAACATTTATCTTAAAACAACCTAAACCATGACAAATTGCTAGATTCTCTTTCTTGGGATAATTCAGACTCTATACCCTAAATCTAATTAAATTATGGGAACTAAATTTATTTTTATCTATTTCATGTATTTATTAGACTCTTCATAAAATATTTTCCTCCCTGAGGCATACAGGGTATTGGAAAAAGAATTAAATATTTTTTTCTAGTTTTCTATTACATAATAGTAGTTCTGATTATATCAAAACATTTAGCATCTCTACACTATGAAATATAATTTTGTGGGTTTTGTTTTAATTGATTAGAAGTGTTAAAAGTTTTGTTTCAAATACTGAAATTTAATATTCTTGATAGTAGGTATGTATGATGATTTAATATTATTCTCTTTGAAGCATTTTTTGTTTGAATTATGTGCATGATTAAAGAATCACTTCTTAATGTGAAACAATTGAGAAAATTTGTCTGAACGTGGACATATTCAGTATTCTTATCAATAATAAGGCTTGCCTTTTCTTCTTTGCTCCACAACTCCTCAGGGAAGTAGAAACCCATGATACCAATGCCTATCAATATAATCAACCTTATAAGTATGACAGGGAAAATAACTAGCTGCCTTTAGATGGGGAATTTGGATTCATAAGAGCCCTAAGCACATGTCAAAATTCCATATAGTCTTACCGTATGGAATATAAAAACAACTTATACCAGATCAGTATTTTTTGGATCATGATATTGAGTTTCACCAACTAAATAACACCTTAATCTTCAATTTTCTATATTCAGACACATTTAGCAACAAAACTTTTGTCACCATTGTTAACCTGCTGTTAGAATGATTTGATAGTGTGAACAAAAAATCAGTTCAGAAGAGGTAAAAGCAGCATCATTTTAACAAATGAAATGTTACATGGCCTCACAAATTAGCTAACATCTCTGGTGCATAATATAGATTGAAAAACACATCCTTGTTCTTCTCAAGCCATGGCTCACTAGTGAGAAACCACAAATACTTATGCAAACCTCAATTTAAATTCATTATCTAATGCACTGCTTATACTTTGACTCAGTACTTATAGTTAATTACTTTATCCCCAAATTCACAATAAGAATTTGAGTATTTTCTGGAGGAACAAATGAATATAAGACCTAAAACTGGTATATTTCCCTCTGATTAGAAATGCTAAACATAGTTTAGTTCCAGAATGTCTGTCGCCTAAAATGGCCAATTGTTCTATTTTGGCAGGTGGTAGGGAGCGTGTGGTCATGCAGGGCAGCACGTGGGATCTTTCTTTGCTGATCAGGGAATGAACCCACACTACGCCCCCCTGCACTGGAAGCATGGGGTCTTAACCACTGAACCACCAGGAAAGACCCTGGTCTCCTAGAGTTCCATTTGGGTGGACAGACAGTATCAGCAAGGTCATGCTTTTATTTCATAGAGAAATCATGAGAGAAATGAATGACCTAGAGCAATGGTTATGCAGTATTCTTCTGCATATTAGGACAGAAGGCAGATGAAAGGAATTCAATTTGGTCTGAGAGTACACAGACATTGTAGTACTCAGATATCAGGAGGTGAGCTATTAGCATTTGAAATTTTATTGATTTTTTTCCCCCCACATTCACTAGCTGATTATTACATGGAGAATTATATTCACTCTAGACTATGAAAGTGTACAGACTCTGTTTTACTGGAGTCTTCTGCCAGTTTGAAAAAAGGAAAAGTATTAAGCAGGAATCAGACTTAGAATGGAAGAGTAGGATTATAAGACCCTTATTGTGGCATTCACTATTATTTTAGAAATTTTGTAAATGACAAGGACAGTGGAGATCCCTATACTAACACGAAAGCATCCAAGATATCTCCTAAAGCAGAAAAGAAATGTTTTTTTTTTGACTCATCATTTGCCAGTTGTCCATAACACAAATAGTTCACGTTCGTAAAGCAGTTGTTTCAAACTTGAGACTTTATTTACAATGATAATTTTCATATCTTTATTACTTAGAAAATAATTTATATTTTTTCATCATTTAAACAAAGAATAGGCCTGAGTCTCATGCCTTTTGCACAGCTTTTACCTTCAATGAAAGTTCTCTGGGAAGGTGACAGGGACACTGCAAATCTTAGAGAGGCAAGGGCGTTGAGGAAATGGCAATACAGACGTGCAATGTAGCCTACTTGACATATAATGCCTTATCTTTAGTTTTACTGGGACTGCAATGGTTAGGATTTGTTCTGGAATTCCATCAAAACAGAATAGACATAATGGGGATTTTTGTGTTTAGAAAGTAGATATTTTCTTAAACATGAGGAAATTCCTTTACTTTTCAGATGAAGACCAACATAGATAAAGCCCTGCACAGAGCTACTGTCTTCATTTTCGACTAAGAGCAAAACCAGGTCTTATGTAAATTACAAAAACAAATTATAGTTTTAAAATATGCTAATATGGTGTTTTCACTAAGGAAACAATATATCCTCAGGGTTGGCTTAGATTGATAACCAGAAAGACATTCTATCAGCATGCAGGAAATGATACTGGTGACACACTTAGTATACCTGGTCTTTTACTGAATAGAGAGCAACCACAAGCATCAAGGTCACCAATTCCTACATTTCCTACCATTAACTTCATAGCTGTCCATACAATTCTCCTTTTCCGTAAGAGGGCTAGACATTCCTTCCTTTGTAAGACCTGAGTTTATCTAATGGCACCTATAATTAGGCTCATATAAAAATGTAGTAAATTGCAACAAATACACTGGCACCACAGGAAGTAAGCTTTAGAGCTGGAAGGGAACACTGTAATATTGCTGTCACCAAGGACAGGGAGACCATCACTAGCAGAAAGTATCTTTTCACGGCCCTCGGCATCCTTTGGGATGTAGGTGGGGGGTGTATGAAAGTCACACACTTGATGAATCTCCATTCCTTTTTTTGAACTGACTTTTAGCTTTAACACATGGGCAATTTATCTTGGAAGAACAAATGGTTAATCTGCCTGGACTGATGAGCACATTTCTGGAATGAAGAGGTTCTCACTGCTTTGGCTATCATTATTTCATGTACTCCAAACAAAACGAAAGTCAGGCCACATGCTTAGACCTTTACTCTGGCACCCAGGTTGGCTCCTACTTGGGGTTACCTACACTGGAGCTTTGATGAAACCACCAATACACGGTTATGGATTCAGAAGTATTTTGCTGCCTCCTCAGCACCTATTTCTTTCCCTTCACTTTTATATTTATGGCATTTGGAGCAGGGGGAAAGATTAGCTTTGTTAAGTAATTAGATACAAGAGGTATGTGAATATAAGTGCTTTTCTAAATCCTTCTGTTATTTGCAACGAAAGGAAAATAGTTAAATTTGCTTGGCAAATGTATTTGACTCACAGTAAGTTTTGCAAACATAGGGACAGACAGGCAATACAAGGGGAAAAAAAAAACTCAGTAAGTCCTAAATAATGAAGACCTGGTATTAACCAGAAAAAAAATAATCTCATTTAGGTAGAATCTACATCCATTTGATCATTTTCATATTTTCCTACTTATTGGGAAAGTTGCCTTGAAACTTTATGTTTGATTATACTATCTTTGCCTTACTTTAAGAATCCCATGGATTATTGTATAATCATTGTTTTAGAAGGGAAGAGTATCCATTCATGAGAAACAAAGGCATTTCAATGTAAACACTCTTTTCTATGATTTTAGAAGAAATAAAAAGTAGGAATTACAAGCTAGATTTACTTGAAGCTAAGGTTGTTTACATGATGAACAGGCTTGACTATAGTACTGTACTGAAGGAAAAGTTATAAGCAAAAAGTCTTGGGAAGAAAGGGACACTGATTATAAACATTCAGGATTAAGACGGTCTTTTGCTAGGGAGACACGGATCCAAGAGTTACCCGAAGTTACTTACTAGTGAATAAACGTTGTTTGCAGCATCCTCATTTAATTGGCATAAGATAACTGTATCAGATGATTATTTAAATTAGAACAGGTAGATGAGTGGGTGTTCATAGACCTCATGCAAATGAACCATCACTCTTACTGGGCTTGGAGATAGCTCCAATGTATAAAAATGGTGATTAAAATAGAACTTTATAAAATTGTTTCCCTTTTCCCTTTAAAAAAAAGTTAACTATCTACAGAAACACAAACAAATCTTTATATTTACATCAAGGTAACTATTAATGACAAATATATAATAATATGAAATAAAATATTGAAAGTGAGTATCAACTTTTTAAATAGAGATTTGGCTCACAGCATAAACAAGTGTAGATAAACCAAAAACAAACAAAAAAAGACTTTCAATGATAGGCCCAATCCCCCCAAATCCCTCTTGAGTCCTCCCTGCCAAAAGAAACATGACAATGGGCCAGGTTGCAGACATAAGCCACCCCATCACACACCTCATGGAGTACAACAGGGTTGTCCATGCAACTTTAGCCAACTAAAAGTCAACCTTCAACAGCCACCAAGAATCAGGCTTTCACTATGTCAATAAATACCAAACCCTAGGTTGAAAAATTTCCCCTTCATCTCTCACCATCTATCCCAGAGTAGGTTTCTGTTTGCCTTCCTTTCTTTTTCTACCACACACTTTGCAGCAAATTAAGACATGGGAGAGCCTAGTGAAGAGTCATTTCCCAGGTCTTCTCTGATTACCTTTTAGAATTCTCACCTGATGAAAAGACCTGACTCCAGCTCCTTCTGAGGTGTTTCTGTGTAAAGAATGCCATCCCCTTCCATGGTGAATTGATCTTAGGTGAATGACAGACATACTCACAAACAGCTCCTATACATTCATTCGGCGACTAGACTGGAAAATGCCTCAGTCTTCCGGGCTTAAGGCTGGTGACAGCAGGAGAAGCAGACCTGTGGCCCTGTCCCTCATCCTGCTAATTCCCTCCATCTGCAAAGGGGCTTCAGCTGAAGCTAAACAGAGGCGGAGACACTCCAGAGCACACTTCATCCTGTTTGTTCACCTGTGCTGAGTTGTCTGCTGCAGCCATGCTGTGAACGACCAAAGCCAATTCTCTCTTTAGGTGCACACAAACGTACATACACCTGAGCATCACTTCTATCTCACACACACACCTACAATGTTGGCAGGATGTATCAGAATTCAACCAATGCTCTGGAACCTTCATCCCTCAGGACTAAGAGCAAACGCTCCTTAGTCATAACTTCATTTGCTGTACTGTTTCTGGGCTAAGCCGCACGATCTCCTTTTGTGATTTGTTTTCCTTCATTTTTTTTTCCTTTATGATTTAGTATATCACAGTGACCACTATATATCTTAATACGAATGTTACTAAATTGTGGGGCCAGGAATCCCAGCTTTCAGAGTGTCTGTGTTTGCATGTGTGTCTGTGAATATGTTTTACATGGATCTACGTGAGAGCTTATATACACACACACGTATATACTTCTTCCTTTAAAAAAAAAAAAATCCTTGGAAGCTGGTGTTACAATGTGAAAGCTTCTCTGAGCAAGAGTTTTTTAAATCCTGTACCTCACTGTAAAAATAAACACACAAAACGCGAAGAATCCCCAAATGCCGTAGCCATTTGCCCATCTTCTTGTATTTCTACAGTGTTGTGTCTAAGTGTTGTGCTGGCTTGAAAAGAGTCTGTGTGACAAGTAACTCTATTTGGAAACATAGCTCGTTCTACCCATTGTCACTGGTTTGGCTTCGGGGCTGGGGCCTCCTCTCCTTTCTGCTTCCCCTTTTCTTCATCTTCTTCCCTGATGGCCTGGATCTGTTCTGAGGGATGCTGCTGGGGGGACTGGTCCTCTATGCCCGCCAAACGCTGCTCTTCCTCAATAGTTTTCTTCCACATCTTGTGGTTCTGCAGGAGGTGCTGAGTTATTTGACAGTAGACTTTCCTCCTTTTGAAAATTTTCTTTCCTGAGAAAGCACCAAATTTGTGTGTTAAGTACATGGCCGTTTTTCCATCTTATTCATAGGAGTTAAGTACCAAATGACATGTATACACTTGACATGTGTATCATGCTAATCATTTTTGAGAGTGGGGAAATAAGAGGAAGGTGGCAAGAAGCATTAATGTATCATTGAGACATACTGTGCACAGTATTTAACATCTGGTAATATCCAATACAAGGTTCTGTTTGTATCTTGGAATTATTACTCCCACCCCATTCAGGCTCTCAAGATTTCCACTTAGATTATTGGGATAATTTCTTGTCACATCGTTCTTTGCTTTGTCAACCAATTCACCTCATGAAAGCTTTTTTTTAAAAGACACTTTTGATAGTACTGTTATGCTTCCTGTGGACTAAAAAAATTAATTTCAAACTCTTCAAGCAGCGAGCTTTGAGTCCAATGGGAAGATAGCGAGTAAGCAAATAGGGACAATTATACTGAGTTGTACAAAGTCTTTGAAACATGGCAGGAAGAGAGGGAAATGACTTAGCTGGAAGGATGTTTCATGATGGTGGTGGCTTGGACTAGGATGGGGATAATGGAAATGAAGATGCATAGGTAAATGTAAGATACATTTGTGAGGTATAATCAATAGGACTTGGCAACTGTAAGGAAAAAAGGGAGGAATCATAGACAACTCTGAGCTTTCTGATGTGAACAGGTGAGTGACAGGATGAAGGGCGAAAGTGGACAATAGGCGAGAAGCAGATTTGAGGAATATGTTGAACATGCAGGGACTGGCAAATCTCCAAGCAGAGACTGCAGGCAGCTGTTCTTGTCTAAGCAACCAGATTATAATGTGCCTTCTTTTGAGTGATCATTTTAGACACAGGCTGAGAATTTGGAAGTTAGGCAAAGATTCTCACGTTGGACTGTAAACTTCTCCATGGACAGAAGTTTTACTAATTGAATTATGTTCTTCCTAGCTTATGTTCTGCAGCACCAAGTAAATGGTAAAGTGTTGACATAATAAAGTGATAATAAAGGTAAGAAAAAGTGGTTCACAGGAAATTCTGATTTAAGACTATATTAAAGAGTTAACAATACAAGTTACCAGGATGATCTGTAAGCAACTTGAGGGTACTTAATGAAATAGTAATGATTTACCATGTATAATCTGGAAGGAAAAAGAAACAAATAGTAACAACAGGCAAAGCCGATGGCTATGAGATATGCAATCAACCAAAATTTTTGTGGAAATGCTGATGATTCCTTCAACAATTTTATTATACATTTTTTTCTTGTACTTTATAAAGTGTTAAGATCAATTTTAAAAACAGTTCAGAAAAAGGACATTAAGTTGCTTTTGAACCATAGAGACACATAGGGAAATTAGTTGAATGAATGACAGGGGCAATGGATACAGGTAGCCATAAGCAAGAATTAAAAAAATATTTTCTATATTATATTATTCATGATACAAATAAGCTTATATTTACCACCTACTAACTGACAAGCAGGGCTTCCCTGGTGGCTCAGTGGTAAAGAATCCACCTGCAATGCAGGAGACGCGGGAGATGAGAGTTTGATCTCTGAGTGAGGAAGGTCCCCTGGAGAAGGAAATGGCAACCCACTCCAGTATTCTTGCCTGGGAAACCCCATTGACAGAGGAGCCTGGTGGGCTACAGTCCACGGGGGTCGTAAAGAGTGGAACACGACTTAGCAACTGAACACAACACACAGGAACTGATAGACAGTTTTCTGGATGTTATAGAAACAAAAACCAATGAGTCTCAGAGTCTGCCTTGAAGGCGCTTACCATCTACAGGAGAGAGGGCCTAGAAGACCGAAACTGAAATATGCATGCTACATTTTATGATAGACCTATAGAGATCAAGAGAGCCTTAATGTTTCCCTCATGTTCATTAAACTTCAGACAGGTTTCTTCCAGACTCTAGGACCCAGATCTCTTTTTGTCTTAAAGCATCTACTTTATAAAACTTGTAACTGCAATTTCTTGCTCTGCTCCTACGTAGTGTAGATAAGTTTCCCAGCCTCGCTAGTTTGACAACCCAGGAAACTTTTTTCTCAAGAACCTGAAAGCCAATCCTTTGAAATGCAATCATTCAGAAAGACAGGGTCCCTTCCCTCACATCTCCATGGGAGGGAAGGAGCCTAACTTCAATAAGAATCAATTAACGGACACAAGTGGCCGAATCACATGGACCAACTCCCCTCTAAGGTCCTCCAGTACCTTTATTACCACCTCATCCCAGTGTGTAAAAACTTTCCCGCCTCTGTTTCAATCAGTTGAGTCTAATGTCTCCTTCCTATTACAAGAGTCCTGAAGAAAGTCTTCCTTGTCATTTTTAAGAATATGCAGCACAATTTCTCTCTGACACATCAAAGTATGGCAACATCAGATACTCAGCCTGTGAGGAATAGATAAGACTTTTCCCAAAGGATGTGTAAATTATGAGAACGAAATATACTGGGTGAGTAAGCATTCCAGGTAAGTGACAGGCAGACGTTATGGAGTATAATATCACTTTCTTCAATTATAAGATTCTTAACAAGGGAAATAAATAAACTAAAATTTAAAACAATCTCAACTCTTTCTATAGAAACCAATAAAATATATGCATCTATTTCATATTTAAGAGCAAACCTTGACGATTACTCTTCTACCAAAGTTATCTACTTGTCTATTTCTACATCATTTTTATTGCAGTTAAGTTCAAATCAGTTACTGTTGAGAATCTTTACATGTTAACATACTTTTTTTTTTTTTTTCCTGTGAGTCAAGATATTTACAGGTGAATCATGGCTGAAGGATGGGCTTGAATGAGACATAGGACAATACTCTACTGCTCAAGGTGATTATTCCATCTGAAAGTTATACACATTCATGGCAGTGAATTCACAGGGAAGAAGCTAACAAAAGCTCATTTTTTCTCTTTTTCCTTTCAGGGCAGCCCCCATGAGAGCAGCTGTTCTCTTATTAAGGCTGCTCAATGTTAGCAATAAACCTCTCTGGAATTAAACTGAATAAGGTGACGTAGAAGGGAGTCTGTACCAAATAAATTTGCGTAGATTAGAGTCCGCAGGTGGTCTAAAACATGCCTGTATTGGGAGCCAAATTGTTCAGCACTGGAACCTTTTGAAATGAGAACAAAGGTCCTTTCATTGCTCAAATTCTAAATGCAGCTTAGTACTTCATTAGAAACCTCTTAGTTCACTGTAGGAATCTTTCAGATTTAATTATGATGTGGGGGAAAAAGCCATCTTTCCCTAGGATACCATATTGAAACATTTTATTCTGTATTTCCTGAGAGATCTACAAGTTATGCAGATTGCTGAAATTATCAATGCATATTTAATTTACATTTTTTCTGAAATCTAAATTTTAGGATAAATCAAGTTAACCATCTCAGTCATTATGAATCCTGAAATTAAAATTACTAAGAGTCAGTAATAATAGAGTTAAAACTGAGGAAATCTGAGTTTCACTTCTGGTTCTGCAGAAACTATATACACCTTGGGATGTCTGTTAAACTCCTGAGCCTCAGTGTAGAGTTTTGTAAAATGAGGCAGCTGAACTGGGTGGTCACCAACTCCATTTCTAGAATTCCATGTGGCCAAATTTTACTAAACACTACTGCTGCTCAATATTTATCATTTTCTTGGCTATAATAGGAAACTTCAAAGGTAATTTTTCAAAAGCTATGGTTATCAAATCATTGTTGATGATGTCTTGAATTTTAATGTAAGGTGTCCGGTAGACATTTAGAAGCGATTAGTAAATGGAATCCACAGAATTCTCATTCCCGCTTTAGTGAGCATGATGTAAAAGGGAATGTCAGGAGAGTAACACATTAGAATCTGGGAGTCAGTATGGCCACCCAACTCTATAGAATAGAGACAAAATGAATATTTAGCATTTGCTACTAAAGCCAATATTGACCGATTGAGCCTGTTGAATTTCCTAACCTAGGTTCTTTAATTCTTGATGCATAGATTATGTGTGTGTTGTTTCAATGTATTTGAGTTCAAATAGCAATCAGGTAGGGCCCATGGGAACAAAGCTTTTCCAGAGGCTAAGCTGACCACACTTTCCAATAACAGTGGAAAAACTGCCCAGTCCTTAGTCAGACAGCAAATTACCTGGCTCTCTGAGTGATAAAGAAAATTATGCATGTTTATTAAGTGAGAAAATGAATAAATAATCCATGAATCCTATCTTGGCTCCTAACTCTGAATGCCAAGGTCAGCACAGAAATTTTAACAGAAATCTTTTTATAAGCATCAGAGGAATAAAATAAAATTACCTTGAGAATAGAATACTGAAGAAAAACAACATCTGGTTTTCCTCTCATTTTGTATCAACATTAATATATGGGTAAGAACTGAAGCAAAAATCTGACCAAAAACCAAATTTGCTCCTCTTTACCCAGCCTATGGTTAATAATGAGTTCTTTTTCTCTGCTTATGTGAGCTTACAACAGGGCACTTACATGAGGGTGAAATAGGTTAATATCCATATTAGACTATCTTTTTACTAGATGGCCAAAATGAACTATGTCATGCATTTTTCTGACTGCTAAAAAACAGGAACAAATGATCATGGTGTCTTTCACTGGTAATATTTTTGGGAAGGGCTTTGAAAACTACCAATAGTAAGATCGTGTTTGATGAAGGTAGGTAGAAACTGCATACTATATTTCCATGAAAACAGGAACAGTATTTGTGCAATGTCACTATAAAGGTTATTGGTTTTCCTAATTATCCTTGTCCCTATGGCAGGAGTAACAGCACAGAATATTTCAAGAGATGAAGAGATCGGAATGGCTGTATGAAACACTGCAAAACCAATGACCAGATGTGACCACTTCTCATTGTCTCTACTCTCACGGCCCTGGCCCAATGCCTCAGTCATCTCTCACTTGGATGATTTCAAGAGCCTCTTAACACACTGCCCTGCTTACACCCTTGCTCACCCCAAACTCCAGAAGATTTTCCACGCAATAGTTGAAGCAATCAAGTTAAAATGTTAAGTTGAATCAACTAAGTCTTCTGTTCAAAACCTCTGATGGCTTCCCAGCTTATTCAGAGAAAAAGCCAAACTCCATTCTGCAGAGCCCTACCTTCTAACCCTCTATCACCTGGGTCCCCACTGTCTCCCCCTGCCGCTCCCCACCCTCTTCTCTGCTTCAGCCTCCCAGTCTTCCTGGTGCTTCCTGAACACCCAGCCAACGCCCACAGCAGAACCTTGCGTGGCTGGCTTTCCTCTCTCCTTGAAATGATTTGTCCACAACTATTTCCATGGATCACTCCCTTGCTTCTTTCAAAGTTTTGGTTTTTTAAAAATACCTTTCTTATTTAGACCTTCCATGGCTATCTTGTCTATGATTTTAATCTTTCTGTGCAATATTTCATATTCTCTTTAACTCTAGTATTTATCAGCATCTAACATATTATAGATTTACTGATTAGTCTTCCCTAGTGTCTGCTGACCCCATTGGAAACACAAGTCAAAAAGGGCAAGGACTGAATGATTTTTTTTTTTTTTTTGGTCTGATTTGTCCATGGTTCTATGTTAGGTACCTGGAAAAATGCCTGGCACAGAGTAGGTGCTTAATAAACATTTGATGAGTGACTGATTACTACCTCTTACCACTTCAGCATCTCTTCCCAACCAAATCAGTAAAAGCCTATGTTGGTCTAGATGGTACCTGAGATTCCTTTCACTGCTAACTCATTAAGATACTCTGAAAAATAGACTTTGACTACTTATTATTATTTTTTTTAATTCATGACAGAGAACATACTTTTGTATGAACATGATATTATAGTAGATTATATATAATATAGATATTATATATATTATATATAATATAATAGATATTATAATAATCTGTAATTTCCATTATGATGATCATATTTGGGAAGGGGGAAGTATCCATAATCCATGCAGTAGACAATGTGAGGACTCAACTAGGTAACTCGTGAGAAGCATCAACTCTACCAGAACCTAAGTAAGAAAACAGTCCTAGGAGAAACACATTCGAGAAAGTTCTATGACTTACTTGGAGATTCTTTATTTTCACAGGTTTCCTCTTCATTTGGTGCTTCTTCCTCCTCCTCTTCTGGGTCATCCGTGTCTCCTGACTCATCACTGTCTTCCACCCATTTCCCTGGCATGAGTCCTGCTGAATCGTAGGAGTTGCACAGAGGACCCACGATGTGCGAGATGAAGGATTCCTGAAGGTTGGCCAGCTGAGGAGCAGAACGGTCCATGAAGGGGCTTATTGGTAACCCAAGGCTGGCCTCTTCATCACCCTGGAAATAGCAATGTAGCAACATGGTTAACTAGACAGGCACAAGGAAAGGATAAAGTACAAATTAAGTCACCATTCACCCGGCATCTAAAATGTGCAAATATGCAAGAACCTGGGCATTGATGTGTGAACTCTCTCTGTCCTTGACTGCTAAAAGATTTTACCCAAATTACTAAGATTCCTGAGTGAGTGAAGTCGCTCAGTCGTGTCCAACTCTTTGGGACCCTGTGGACTGTAGCCCACCAGGCTCCTCTGTCCATGGGATTCTTCAGGCAAGAATACTGGAGAGGGTTGCCATTTGCTTCTCCAGGGGATCTTCCTGACCCAGGGATCGAACCTGGGTCTCCCGCATTGCAGGCAGACGCTTTAACCTCTGAGCCACCAGGGAAGCCCCACTAAGGTTCCTATAGGACTGCTTTGTTGCTACTTACTCTGTGGTAATCTTGAGGGTTTGGTTTTCGATCAGGGGAACTACCAGAAATGGTTTTTGTGTCAGTAGATGATCTCTCATCACACTAGTCACTGTTCCGTATATTAGAGTGTAAGTTAGAATGTAAATGCATCTTAAAAGGCAATGCTGGACATAAATATCTACCAGATAATCTATCCTGTTTGCCTTTTTTTTGCCTTGTATGCTAGAAAGTTTAAAATAACTTATTCCTCAATTAAAGTTAATAGTTAATAGTTTATCCCAATTTTGGGTTGAATTATGTCTTCCGTGATTATAGTTTGTGATATTATTTTTCTATGTTTAATAGTGCTACTGTATAAGTACTACTGTGTAAGTGTTTTTATGTTGAACTAATTCATCTTTCAGAAAAAAAGTCAGATTGAAAGCCCAAAATTACCTAGCAACATTAATGAAGGAATTATACCAAAATATCATCAATGGTTATGCCTATATATATAATAGAACTAGAACAAATAATTTCACAACTTGTATGGAAATACAAAAAACCTCGAATAGCCAAAGTAACCTTGAGAAAGAAGAATGGAACTGGAGGAATCAACCTGCCTGACTTCAGACTATACTACAAAGCCACAGTCATCAAGACAGTATGGTACTGGCACAAAGACAGAAATATAGATCAATGGAACAGAATAGAAAGCCCAGAGATAAATCCATGAACCTATGGTCACCTTATCTTCGACAAAGGAGGCAAGGATATACAATGGAAAAAAGACAACCTCTTTAACAAGTGGTGCTGGGAAAACTGGTCAACCACCTGTAAAAGAATGAAACTAGAACACTTTCTAACACCATACACAAAAATAAACTCAAAATGGATTAAAGATCTAAATGTAAGACCAGAAACTATAAAACTCCTAGAGGAGAACATAGGCAAAACACTCTCCGACATAAATCACAGCAGGATCCTCTATGACCCACATCCCAGAATTTTAGAAATAAAAGCAAAAATAAACAAATGGGACCTAATGAAACTTAAAAGCTTTTGCACAACAAAGGAAACTATAAGCAAGGTGAAAAGACAGCCCTCAGATTGGGAGAAAATAATAGCAAACAAAGCAACAGACAAAGGATTAATCTCAAAAACATACAAGCAACACCTGCAGCTCAATTCCAGAAAAATAAATGACCCAATCAAAAAATGGGCCAAAGAACTAAACAGACATTTCTCCAAGGAAGACATATGGATGGCAAAAAAACACAATATTACAAGTTTCTTTTCTTTACATTTTATCTATAGTCAATATTTCAGGACTATCAATTAGTTCCAAGAAAACACAATCTTTTCTAGAAAGTATAAACCTTTTTTTCATGAGTCCTATCTATAATACTCAAAAAAATTCTTTCTTTAAATATGTTTGGTGAAAGGTGATTTATTACTTACTAAGGGGCCTCATCTTATTTCTGGATGACTTTGGGAATACAAATTTCTTTTTGACATTGACCTAAAATCTATCTCCTTATAACTTCTATAGACTGGCTATAGTCATGTCTGTTTTTTAGGGAAGTTTTTTTTTTTTTAATAAAGCAAATCCTGTGGTATCTTATATAATTTATCTTCTTTAAGCTGTACAACATCACGATAAACCTAATCCTAAACTTGTATGTCAGTCTTTTAAGTATCTAAAGAGAGTTATTACCTCTGTTTTTCCTTAGGGTACATATTTGTACTTCTTTCCTGGCCTTTAGGTCACTACTGATGCCTGTCATTTACCCATCTCTACTACCTCGAGATTCCTCTTATGAGAGACGTTTACAGCACCAAACACAAGGTTTCAAGTATGGTTGGGGTAAGGTCATGTGGGGAAGATCCCTTCATGTTCTGTTGGCAATGTGTCAAATAAAATGCTACTTTTATTAGTTTTTTCATGTACTGCTGTTATAAACTATTAGAAAAGTAAATGAATTTAATTTGATATACATTCATCCATACAAATTTAAACCTAGCTTCTATTATGATAAAATTGATGAGTATTTCAATGGGATTCCTAATATTTTCTGAGGTCATTCCACTATCTTAACACCTTTTCCCATCAAAATACTTAATAACTTTACCTTAAGAGTTTTATGTTTATAGTTAGTTAAGTCGCTCAGTCGTGTCCGACTCTGTGTGACCCCGTGGACTATAGCCCACCAGGCTCCTCTGTCCATGGGATTCTCCAGACAAGAATACTGGAGTGGGTTGCCATTTCCTTCTCCAGGGGATCTTCCCGACCCAGGAATCGAACCCAGGTCTCCTGCATTGCAGGCAGACGCGTTAACCTCTGAGCCACCAGGGTTTAGTTCAATTTTTGTCATTTTTTTAAACCTCAGATTAAATTTGGCCAGTGCCTTTTCTCATGGTATCATGAATACAAAATGACTAATCACACTTTTACAGCCTTTGGAAACTTTAGAGCAGGGGCCCCCAACCTCTAGGATCAAATGCTTGATGATCTGAGGTGGAGCACATGAAATAATAATAGAAATAAAGTGCATGATAAATGTAATGTTCTTGAATCATCCTGAAATCAATCCACTACCCTATCTGTGGTAAAATGGTCTTCCATGAAACCAGTCACTGGTGCCCAATAGGCTGGGGATTGCTGCTTTAGGGAATCTATAAGCAGCCTCAATATGGATTAAGAAAAATAGTTAAATTAGTTACCTGTTCATAAAATTCATTGACAATACCCTCCGTCCACTGAAGATGGAGCTCTTTACTCTTAGCTGGCCCATTGATATCAGCCAACTTTATACACATTTGACAAACCAGTAGACGATCATTTTCATTGGTCCAATCTATTCCAACTTCATCATTCACCTGTTTGAAGGACAAAGTTTAAATGAATGCACAAGTTGAATGGGAAAATAAATCACAGAATTCTGATCACCTTGTTACTATGCATTCTGATCTGTCTACCATGTGCAGATAGGAATACCAAGTAATGAGAAACATCTCAGCTGTTTCAAATAATGTTATTTGGCTTGTATAAATTAGTAGTGAAATAGCTCACCTAAAAAAATAACAACAAATGATGGATCATTATGGAATTGAAAATAATTGCTATTTAATACTAGCATGTGTTATAAATTACTATTAAAATGCTGTAGCTACAAATAATAAGAAAATTTCTTGAGTTACTATTTGAGCATTTATTATATGTCTGATGTATTAAATTCTGCTTCAGGTTTTTGACCTTTACTACTTCCAGGTAATTAGTATTCCACAGAGATGAGAGCAAAAAAAAAAACCAAAGAAAACAAAATCACAATGATAGTTAGAATTCTATTATTCTTCTGCAGTACAAGGTATAATATATACCAACAGGACCTCAATATATTAGGTTTCCAGATTGGGCCCAATGCCTAAAGAACTGCTTCTAGTTTAACACTGCATTGTATTTCATTTTCACATTCGACATGTATGAGGTGGCAGCAATGAGTTTTGTTTAACACTCTCATTCCATGACATCTTTCAATGTGGCCAGAAAAGGAGGACTGGTACAAATCTAGTTACCTTGGCATTAAATTTGGCAACAAAGTCGAAGTGTTTCTTCAGGTCAGTGGCCAGAATTGCTTCAATGACAAGGAAACGGAAATGCTTAAATTCCACGTGGTCAAGGTTAACTAAGAAGTTATAATCTGGCCGGGACATGAAAAGGTTCCATGCGGCAGCCGCGTGATGATTCTCCAGGACTGAGCGATCGTTGTAGAGCACCGCCTAGGCAAAGATGAGAGTCAGGAGTCCAGCTTTTTAAATTAGAAACAAAAATAAATGAGAATATGCAAAACATTTGGAATCATCTTTTATCATAGAACACAGAAATGCAACGTTGTGGCAGCTAGTTATTAAGAATTACTTATTACTGTACATTGTTTACTTTTCTTGGTTATTTTTTTCTTTTTTTGGTAAGATAAAGTTCATTTCCTTGAAATTTTATTTCAAATTCTTGTAAGTGAAGGGCAGAGACTTAGCTTATTTCAGATTACTCTTTTTTTCAAAACACAGGAATTTAACCATAAAATATGCAAATATATTAATATCCCTAAGAGGTAACTCAGTTATCGCCCACATCTAAAATAAGAATGACTTTCTTTTAATTAAACACATGTAACTAATAAAGAGGGATGATATCCCTGAGAAGCTCATAATTCAAAATATTCTTACCTCACAATCAGTCATAGGAAATATTACCCTCTGTCTAGTAATTGAAAGTATATAGTAAATATCTACTTGTTTGAATAATGCTGAGGGAAGCTGTGAAGGAAAAGAAAGTTGCCTAAAAAAATGCCTGAAGTCTAGTGTGGCAGATTGATGATGGAAGGAAAAAAAGGTATAATGACAAAAAGGAAAGACCAAACACATGAAAATTAATCTTGAGGTAAATGAAAATTCATGGACACGTAGGAAAACTGAATGGTAAAATGTGCTGGCCAAAGGATATGCTTATATTTAGGGAAAATATATAGTGTATGGAGGAAACAGTGAAAGAAATGTAAGTAGTCAGAAAAAAATCAGGATATTTGTACTGTATACAGATGAAAGGAAAATTACTTAAAGGACATTAATTTTAATTAACTAAAGGAACACTCTAGGCTAGTCTGTAAGAGAGAGTGTGGAAACAGATAAAAATAGATGAGAAGACAGTAAAAGACAAAAAGCAAACATGACAAAAGGAATGGATCAGATTAGTCTCTAGAGCCTCTAGAAAGAAAAATAAGATCATGGGATCTTTAGTAAAATAGGTCCATCCATCTGATTAAACCAAAGTTTAATTATATAGATGGAGATTCCTAAATACTTAGTGATTGATATTTGACTTAAATTTAAGCACATGCCCAGAGGAACTTCTTTAAAATTGCTGTGTTTGAAATTACTGTTTTTGTCAGGTAAAAAATTTACCTCGAATAAAATAAATCAATCTTTAATTCTTCCTAATCAATAAAGATGCCATGAAAATGATATTTGTTATAATGTATCTCAAAGGAACTGCATTTATATCCAAAGAAGTCTCTAATTCTTAAAGAACCGAGAAAGATTTGGTTCTCTAATGTTTTCAGAAAGAAAACTTTTGTATAGGTCAGATATTCTTTATTGAGGAAATTCATTAACATGAATTCAAGGAGTTTTTCTTCCTCGAAAACTGAGAAAGGATCTCCATAGGTGATAAATGTAGACCTATCATTAATAACTTAGAACAAACCATCATATCTTTTCAAAATGAGCATGGTCTCTAAGAATTTTATCTCAGGTCTAAATATAGTTTGTTCATATTCGCTTGGTCAATTCACTTGGCCTCCTATAAGTCAAATTTATAAAGTTAATGTTCTTCAGAGAAACCTCAAAATTGAACTACTTTCCCAGGCAAAATCGAAAGGTTTACCTGAGGGGCGCTCGTTGCAACCAGGAAAGCATTAGTCCTTCCTGGGTGATCATAGTCATGCATGGCTGCAGCCACATACAAGGCCATCAACTCCAAGGCAGGGATATTTCCAGACAAACATCCATATTTATCATCAGGCACATTATACATTTTTGAGAATACATATCCCATATGGCCATGTGTAAATCCACTGTCAGAATCTGAGAAGAGACGATGAAAACAATATAGCTTTGAAGAAAGTAGTAAACTGCTATCAGTTATGCTCACTTACTTATTTACAAAGCCACTCTTCCGTTCCCATAGTTTACAATGGAGCACAGAGAACTTAATATGTACCTGAATCGCTTGCTGATCCGTGATCATTAATCACAGTTGAGAGGCCTGGAATAGGTTGTGTCGTGAGATACCAAACAGCATGTAAGACATCCGTGGCATGGATTCTGTTGTGGTCTGTAACCAATGCAAAGGACAGGCGTTCATCTGTGAACTCTGGGGTCCAAGGACTAAGAGTGCCACCTACTGGACAAACGGTTTAGTCCTCACGTTTAAATAACCTGGGTGAAAGACGGCCAAACATTCTAGGACAAATACTCTGTGATTCCTCTTCCATTTCTCTATAATATTCATAGTAACAAGAAAAAAAAAAGCTTACAACATTCATCACACACGCAGATGTCTGAAATGAACAAAATCTGTGTCCAGCATCCACCGAACATAAATTTCACTAAATAACCCAACATATATAAACTCACTGTGCGAATCCACTGCAATGTTTACTCTTGTCCTTATGCCCATGTTCCTCTGAAAACTATGCAGAGGACTAGAACTAAAGACCCACGATACACTTAACCTAGGTCAGACCAATGGTCCATGCCACCCAGTGTTGCATCTCTGATAACAGAGATGTGTTGCACTCAAATATAACCTGTGAATTGAACATAGTGTTATTCTTCTGTATCAAACTTAAAAATGTAAGAAAATGAGTAATGTTTTTTACATGTATTAATAGATAACATCCACAAAGCAAATCGAAACCAAAATCGATAATGTTCTCTGATCTAGAAATTCTGGTTTGGGAATAAAGTTCCAGGAAATACAGAAAGAGAAAAAATTAAAACCTCTTAGTACAATAACATAAGAGGTTGAGCCATCCCGAAGTGTATAAATCTACAGGGCAACCAAACCCCCCAGTTAAAATGCCCTTATCATAGGAATGGGGCTATATTTCTACACGTGTGGTCTAGCCTCTATGGAACCATGACCAAAGGCCCACTGTGTTACTGGCTCACCTTCTTTCTCAGTCCATTTTTTTCCATGTTTTTCTCTTATCTGGCCCTGCAGAATACTTCACTGATTTGGTATGCTTTATTCTAAGTATGCTAACTTCATACATTTTATTCCTAATGACCAACCATGATATGATTTCCTTCTATAAGGTAATAGATGACATCTGTGAATAGCACTCAACAGATGCTGCTGCTAAGTCACTTCAGTCGTGTCCGACTCTGTGCGACCCCATAGACGGCAGCCCACCAAGCTCCCCCGTCCCTGGGATTCTCCAGGCAAGAACACTGGAGTGGGCTGCCATTTCCTTCTCCAATGTGTGATAGTGAAAAGTGAAAGTGAAGTCTCTCAGTCGTGTCCGAACCTTAGCGACCCCACGGACCGCAGCCTACCAGGCTCCTCCATCCAAGGGATTTTCCAGGCAAGAGTACTGGAGTGGGATGCCATTGCCTTCTCAAACTCAACAGATGAGGAGAAGCAAAACATAAGAGAACAAGCAGAATCATAATGAAAATTTGAGAGGAACACCTGTTCTCCGATCAGGGAAGAAAACAGAAATTAGGACACCTGTGGTGTTGGCAGCACACAGGAGCACGTAGGAAGATGGTGTGTGTTTTCCTACATGTCTGGCAACTTTAAGTGAAGACACATTGGTAAATCTTGGGTAAAAACTCTAGAAACTCAGTGAAGGGTTCAGGGAGGTCTTGAGATGATGTTTTCAGAAGAGCTTTGAGAAGCAGACCTCCTAGGTTCTGGAGCAGTAAACAGCAAACCTTGTTCACTGTATCATTGCCAAAGGTGAACACTGATATTACCTAGTCTCCAAAGAACACTTCTATTCAAACTGGGGTCTCTAACTCCATGTATGGACTATCCCAAATGATTTAAGACAATTACATTTAAAACCTCTATCTGTGCCAGTGTACAAAGCTGATCATGCTAGAAGTCTCAGGGTCTAGGACATACCTATCTCTGCTCTGACATTTATTACCTGTGTTACTGAGTCATTTAAAACATTGTCTCATTTCCTTATCTTAAAACCATGGAGACAATAATAGTGCCTATTTCATAGTACAACTTTGAGAATTACAGAAGGGGACCTTTTTTAAAGTGGCTGCTATATAGTAAGCTTGTGATTGATGTAAATATCATTCACCTAAAATACATGATGAAATGGTTGGATGGAATCACCGACTTCACGGACATGAGTTTGAGCAAGTTCCGGGAGCTGGTGATAAACAGGGAGGCCTGGCTTGCTTGTAGTCCATGGGGTCACAGAGAGTCATATACAACTGAGTGACTTTATGGAACTGAACTGAAAATACATGATTGCTTTTACAACACAATGATGAGTTAGTGCAGATTACCAGTTTCCTTTCAAAAATCAATGCCGGACTTATAAAAATAGAATTGAAGAGCTAAAATAAAAGCTAAGCTAAACCATGGAGGAGGGAGAAGGCAGTGATGACCCACCAGAAGAACATGCAACCTGGTCAGAGGGTTTCCGGGGCTATGTTGGAAGAGAGTTTCTGGGTTAAGTTCTTTACTCTTCCCCTGTGACAAGCTGGGAAGATTACTGTGTGATGTAAGTACCATTACTACTACAAGTCAGAGAAACCTGTGCTTGCACCCAGCATTACAAGGTGGGTGGAAGCGGTATCAGGGTATTGACTGTGTCTCTTTGGGGTAAAAAATAGACAATACCAAGTCATGTGACCTTGTAGCTCTTGAGTTATACTGCTTCCTGGCCTGTCCCGCATCCCAAGGTCCAAGTCCAGAAGGCTTAATAGGTTATTTGTGTGTGTGTTTGTGTGTGCTTAGTCACTCAGTTGTGTCCAATTCTTTGTGACCCTATGGACTGTAGTCCACCAGGCCCCCTTTTCCATGGAATTCTCCAGGCAAGAATACTGGAGTGGGTTGCCCTCCTCCAGGGGATCTTCCTGACCAGGGATCGAACCCATGTCTCTTAGGTCTCCTGCATTGGCAGGCAGGTTCTTTACCACTAGTGCCACTCGGGAAGCCCAAAATTTCAATGAACAAACTATCTAAATAATTTAGTGCTGAAAATGTAAAGAAAAGAAAGCTTGTCAAACACATTTTTTTTGAGGTTAGTATAACCATTTTGGAGCTTCCGTGGTGGCTCAGATGGTAGAGAATCTGCCTGCAATGCAGGGGACCCAGGTTTGATCCCTGGGTCAGGAAGATCCCCTGGAAAAGAAAATGACAACTCACTCCAGTATTTTGGCTTAGAGAATTCAGTGGACAGAAGAGCCTGGTGGGCTTCAGTCTATGGGGTCTCAAGAGTCAGACATGACTGAGCAACCAACACCTAACTTAGTTTATAATCATTTTAAGTAGATACACGTATATGTATAACTGAATCACTTCGCTGTACATCTGAAATTGACACATTGTTAATTGATTCTACTCCAACATAAAATAAAAGTTAAAAATTTTTTTCTATGTATGTTTTGCTTTTTAGAGATTAACATAATCTTGATTTAAAAACTAGGTATAAGAGTACATGGTGGGGGGAACCCTTCTTTTGCTTTTGAGTATAGGTTCACAAGTGCTAAAGAAAACAATAGCTGAACAAACCTAACTCCTTTAATATATATAACATATATTTACATAGATACAGTTATGCAGGTGTAACTCTAAAAGGATTACATTGTCACTATCACTTAAGCAGGACGGAAAAATTATCTGCCTTTAAGAAGTCATTAAGATATTTATTAAACACATACTCAAACCTATTATGAGAAAATATTGTGCCGAATGCTGGTGGCACTGTTGCTCTTGCCATTAATTCTTTGGGGACCAACTCAGGTGCAAAGACACCTGAGTCAACATAGGGGATTGAGAAATTTCTATAAGACAGACAAATATGCTCAGAGACTGCTCGTCTTTTTTTGGCCTTGATAGGCAACTGACAGAACTAAGGAATAAAATCAGAGCGATCCTTATTTTATCATTATTATTCTCATCCTCTTCCTTCGTCTCTGCATTTTGGACAAATCTCTTAATAATTCTCTCACCCACCTGGCAAACACCCACCCCCACCCCCACCTCTTGGACAACACATAAACACACGTGCCCATACTAATAATATCACTCACCTTCCCCTTTCCCAGAACCTGCCTAACCCCTCTTCTGTCTAAATAGACTTGTTTTCTCTTTTTCTCCTTTTCCTCAAGCACAGGGTTGAAATAAGCTGCTGTGGAAGGCTGAGGTTGCATATAAAATTTATAGGTTTTTTAGAACTCAATTTACAGATTTTCTATTTAAAGTTCTCTATGCTCCTATAAACCAATGAATGAAGCAAAGTACTAAAGAATAGAAATTAGACTTGAAACACTCTTTTCCCCACCTTTGGAAAGGAGCTAATAGTGTAACAGTTCTGCCCTTCTAGCTTGTTCCATGGCACCTCAGTGTCTACCTTTAAAATCGATGGGCACATCACAGACAGATTAATCAAACTGAACTAAACAAAGGTGGTGCTTCTGGGCTCAGTCACGCCTGACTCTGGGCCACCCCATGGACGGTAGCCCGCCAGGGGACCTTCCCAACCCAGGGTTCTAACCAGCAGTCAATGTCTCCTGTTCTGGCAGGTGGGTCCTTTAGCAAAGGTTCTGGGCATACATTTACAAGCTTTCATACTTTCCCTCTCCTCTTGGAAATTGTTAAAAAGTATAATTAAAACTGTAGTAAAATTTTAGTTTCTAACAGTTTAGCTCATTGTCATATTAAGGCTAATCTAGCCCTATTTTGGTTACCTTTAGGCTTTTTTTTGTTTAGTTAAGGGTTTATACAGAGATATTAGAAACATAGTTCTCTAGGAATAAATGCTAAATTTTTGCACATGTTAATTTTAAATAATGATAAATACAGCTTTTAATAAATATCCATCTTGGTCTAAATGTATAACCTTATAACATGCAGGGTATTATGATTTAAAAGTGATCATGAATTAAGTTAAAACTTCTCTGTGAGAATATGTGAATAAATTCCCTTTCATGTCTAACAGAACAAGCAAAGATATAACAAATTCTTTTCACATGGAATGAAAAACCTGGTATTCCAGGAAAAATATCTGGTTACTTGCAATATATAAATAGGTAATAATAAAATTTAGAATCTGCAAACTTTTTACACTTAAAGAAATACTGGTCAACTTTATGAGTTAATAGAATACTATCTAGAGAAAAGTTGAAAGATAGAGACTTGAACTCAGTGGAGCCTGGCAATAGCTGATTAAATTATATGGAAATGTAATATTAGTATTATTTATAAACTTAAATTTAATTTTCAATTAATATTATTTGTAAATTTAGTCTGATGACTAGCTATTCTTTAGTGTTTGCAGTGGCTTCCTTTTTGTAAAAGCTTATTTATGTAATTCCTTAAGCTTCGAGAAATCACTAACACTTAGGTCAATCCCTGGCATTCAACCAGGGTAGCCCTGGGAAAATGGTATTAAAAAAAGCAAGGCTTATCTTAAGATCCTTTCAAACTACCCTTTTTTCATCTCTCTCTCTCCACTTCCATGGCCCCATCTGCCAGACTTTCCCACGGTGCCCAGAGTGCTTAAATTCCCCTCTCTACCCCCACAGTCCTATTTTGTCTGCATTTAGTCCCATATTCTCCCACAAATATCATTTGTAGATTTAATCTTGATTCTCCTTTTCTACCACACAACTTGTAAATTCAATAACTCATTCCTCTTTTCTATCACACAACATCAACTGTGCATTTTTATCCTAACGTAGCATGTGATGGCATTTTCAAGACCAGCATCTTAATAATGGATCACTTGGTTAATGCACTACCCTACCCCTTCTGAACACACTTGTACTAGTCTCTGTTCAGCTTTTACTTAAGCTCTCTGCTACTAGAAACAGACATGAGTTCTGGGGTTCTAAAGTTCAAACTAGGTAAAAGCAAATTTAGAAACTTAAAAGTTAAAATGTGATTTAAGTAACACAAGCTCTAGTCAACATATTATATTTAACTATTTTTTCTATGTATTTATTTCTAAAGGTCCATGTGATTTCTGTATACTTCTGATTAGATTTACAGCCATTTCTCCAGTTTCATATATTTTGTAGCATGTAGGACAATGCTACTTACATGTTCTGATGATATAGAAATGCCACATATTGAAAATTTACTGTCTCTTCTGTGTTCCAGTTCCTCATGATTACAAAGGACAGATTTATTCTCGCAATATTCAAAGTTCATAAGCTTGAACCCTTGGTTGTGTCTTATCCTTTAGTCTTCACATTTTATCTTGATTTTTTAAAAAGTTCCTAATAATTTCTCCACAACCACTTCCAGTTGCCTTTTCTTTTTCTATTTTATTCATTAGACCATCATCTTCCTGTCCCTCTATTCCCAGCTAGGTTTATCTTATACTGAAAAACTTTAATTGTGAGTTAACTTGGCAGATGCTAGAGCAAAGGTTGAGAATTCTACCCAGCAAGAGGAGTATGTTATAAAATGAGCAATAAATTAACATGTATTTATTTAGTACACACTTAAATTGGAGCTACTTATGTGCAAGGTACTATTATTACCCTTTAACAATTATTATGTCACTTTATCCTTGCAACAATCCTATGAAGTAGTTATTTTCTTTTTCTTTATTATTATATCCATTTTACAGATTAAGAAATGAGGCATTTAGAGGTTAATTAAGACCAGGGTGTCCTATAGCTGATTTGTAAAGGGACCAGGATGCTAACATAAACTACTATCTCCTAATCACTACACCAGGTGACCATATAGGATGCTTACAATGTGTAATTCTGTGCTAGCTCTTAATTCAATATCCCATTACCCATAGAAAATTTAATGGATTTCAAAAGTATTAATTCTTCTACTTACAAGGAATTTCCCTGTAGCCAGTCTCCAAAGCATGAAAATAATTCATGAATTCCCTAACTGGAATTTTAAAAGCTTCAAAGAGGCCCATGTCTTCAAAAAGTCTGTATGATACCTGTAAAAGTAAAAGTCAAGGTCTTACAAAACATCCCTTGATGTGTATTAGACATAAAAAGAAAAATGGGGAAAAAGTATACATTCAATCAACCATATTAATGTATTGCTATAGAAATCCTTACTGGAAACAACAGATCAAATAGATACTGAAGACGTCTATGTCCTAGCCCTCTATATAATCTATTTTTAAAGGTAGAGACATAAACCCAAGAAACAGCCAATGAAAAAATCCAGTATACACTAAAGACATATAACAAGGTGCTAAATTGTGTGTGATATCAATAATAAGAGAATGATACTGAGTAAATTGCTAATCATATATGTGCTAAATAAAGAATGAGAGAAAGCTTTCATCTGGACGAATTTTATAAATTACAAAAAGCTTTCTAGAGGATAAAGAACTGTGCCTTAATGAAGAATAAGGGAATAGAATTACAAGAAAGAAAAGGTTGTCTTGACTGAAATATATAGAGAAAAAAAAATTTTTTGTAATCCAGTATAAATAAAAATTTTTGAACTATTTTTCCTCATTTGCCATCTCTCTCCTTTGAATATCTATTCTCCTTCTAATTATTTTCATAGCTCTAGAGACTCAAATCAACTAAATATCTTTGGATGTGACTGGTATCTTTGATATGCAAATTGTGGAGAATGAAAAAAAAATGATAAAGGCACAGAAGAGAGTAATTGGAGAGAAATGGTTACTCACATGGCAGGGTGGAGAGCAGCACCATTTATAGTGACCGCACTTTTATCTCTAAAGTACAATGTGTAAGTCAATGATATTTCAATACAAATTTTTTAAAAAGTGGTCTCACTTTATGTCACAAAGGCACAGTACTGGTTGTAATTCAGGAGACTTTGAGAAAGAATTATTTATCCTTTCATTTATTTGTATTCTTGCTTAAAATTCTCAAACTACCTCCAAATGTTTAATAACTTCATAGTTAAATTTCTATTTCCATTATGAACTTTACATCTACTCAAGTTCACTAATATTCTTTTATTTAGATATTTAATTTCCATCAATATCATATATTATGTTTATATTTGTGTACATACATACATACACATTTATGGGACTTCCCTGGTGATTCAGACAGTAAAGAATCTGTCTGCAATGCAGGAGACCCCAGTTCGAATCCTGGGTCAGGGAAGATCCCCTGAATAAGGGAATAGCAACACACTCCAGTATTCTTGTCTGCAAAATTCCAGTGACAGAGGAGCCTGGTAAGCTACAGTCCATGGGGTCATAAAGAGTTGAACGTGACTGAGTGACTAACACACACATGCACATTTATATATAACTAAAAAAAGGGATTTATTCATTCAGCATATGTCTATTGAGTGTCTCCTTCTGTGTAAGACAATTTCCATATATAACGCATATTTATGCATACATATATGTATACACATATATACATACACATACATATATACATACATGTATGCACACATATACACACATATACACATGTATGTATATACACACATATACATACATATCACCACCACACTATGACTGAAAGGGATGTTACATGATAAAAGAAAAAGGGAAACAGGAATAGAGCTTTGAGTCCAGGAGGACATGGCAATTGCTGTTTTACATAGGGTGGTTAGAAGAGGCATATTCAGGTGAGTTTCAGCAAATAATTGAAGAAGACGCAGAGTGTGGTATAGAAATATCTGAGGAAAGTTTTCTAAGTAGAAGAGAAAGATGGTGCAAAGGCCCTGAGGCACATCTGCTATACTCACAAAACAGCAAGAAGACCTACATGGTCAAAACAGAATGAATGAGGACAGGAGTAAAACTTAAGTTAATGACTATAGAGGGGTATTGACTGGGTTGCAATCTGTTTCACAGCCAGATTGACCAGTGTTAGGACTTTTATACTGAATGAAGCAGGGAACGTTTGAAGCGTTGAAGCAGGGAAGGTGTCTTTATTTGACTTACGTTTTCAAAGGAGCACTGTGGCTGCCCATTGGGAATAGAGTATGTGTATTATTTACACGTGCTTTTTTCACTTTGAAAAAACTATACAGGCCGGTGTACTTAATTTTGCCCCTTTTTCTGTGTTACATAACATCTCCACCTCCTCTCTTTAAAAATGCAATAGAAAGTTAAGTTTGTGGTGTCTGTCATATTTCGTAGTTCTGCCAGTTATTTTCTTCTTATTATTGCTTTAAGCTATATTTGAGTTCTTGTTTATAAATACCCAGTGGATTCAACTATACATGTTACTGCAAAAAAATTATTTATAATAGCAGCAGTTATTGACACACACATATACTCACTATTTTGTACAGATATATATGGAATTTAAGAAGTTTGATGCCTCCTCCAAGTAGTTTACATATATTACTTACTTACATTAATTAATCTATGTAGCGTCTAATGAGACAGACACTGTTATTTATTACACTTGAAAGCAGAGGACTCTAAGGCACAGAGAAGTTGAATGACTTGTAAAACATCACACAGCTGACACATTATCAGACCAGAGTTCAAGTCCAGCATTATGGCTTCAGACCACCATACCAGGGATCACACTCTTCAATAGAAGAGAAAACAGAATTCCTGGCCTGCTGCCACCTCTTCTTGTGGCATCACTTCAGGCATTTTTCCAGGTAAAATCACACCTTCAGAGTTCTGGTATGCAATGAGTTTCAGGGATGGGACACGACACCTCCTGGAGAAGTCTTGAGGCATGAAGCAGAGGCAGACTGAGTAAAACTGGGGCCTTTTTAGACCTGCCTTCAAGCTCAGCCAGTGGGAAAAGATGCTAAAGATGCTGCTCCGGATCAAGGAGAAAGGAAGAGAAGAATGGCACTATTAATTTGCAAAAGCACGCATGTATCTTGAGGATATTCTGCCAAATGAAATAAGCCAGACAGAGAAAGACAAACACCATAGGAACAAAGCAGAGATGAGAGAGGGCAAAATAGGTGAAGGGGGTCAACTGTATGGTGATGGGAACATTTTCAGCAGTGGCACCCATTAGGGTCTACAGAAGAACAAATATAGTGTGCACATGAAACTTGTATAATATCCTAAACCAATGTTACCTTAATACATTTTTTTAAGAAAAAAAAAAAAAGGATAGTATCTCTAAGTCAAAGTTCAAGGACTGCCACTCTGGTTCTCAATGTGTTCATGGTCAGAACAGAGTCCAATAGAGGATATGACCATGTGTTATGGAGACTCTACTTATTTTGAACTTCACAAGCCATCCATCATTTGAACATACCTCTGTGTGTAGCAAGTTGAAGTGTCATTATTTGGATACATACCTAATTTCCCTGTTGGAGCAGAAGTTCCTTGAAGGCAGGGACACATTTTTTGTCTTGAAGACTAGCCTAGCATTCATGTTTGAGGAACAGTAGAAGAAAAGTTCTCTCTATTCCTTCCTTTAAACTTTCATGGATCAGTAACCCTCACTTTTTTTTTATTTTGGTGTCACTGTTTTTATTTTATTTTATTTTTAAGTTCTACAATCAGATACTTGCTCAAAGTTCTGAAGAAAGCCCGTGTCCACTGCACAGAGTAGGAATCAGTCCAGCAAATGATTTCTCTTCTAGTATTTTGCAGGCAAGGGTTAGTGAGTCCTGAATTCTCACCTAAGTCTGATATTAACAAATCTTTTAGTTTTTAGTATCTCCGCTGTGATATTTTTCCATTCTCTAAGAACTCACCTAAAACATTTTTAAATAAGCTGATAACTATCATTTCAAGATAGCTCAGTTGGTAAAGAATCTGCCTGCAATGCAGGAGACCCCGGTTTGATTCCTGGGTCGGGAAGATTCCCCGGACATGGAAAAGGCTACCCACTCCAGTATTCTGGCATGGAGAATTCATGGACTATATAGCCCATGGGGTCACAAAGAGTCGGACATGACTGAGCCTGTTGTTCAGTCACATCCAACACTTTGAGACCCCATGGACTACAGCACACCGGCCTTCTCTGTCCTTCACTATCTCCCAGAGTTTGCTCAGACTCATGTCCATTGAGTCAGTGATGTTATCTGACCACCTCATCCTCTGTTGTCCCCCTTCTCCTCCTGCCCATGATCCCAGCTGATTAAGAGTGCATTTTAGTAGGGGCTAGATAATGAAGCCTTCTAATGGAGACAGATAATGGAGAAGGAAATGGCAACCCACTCCAGTACTCTTGCCTGGAAAATTCCATGGACGGAAGAGCCTGGTAGGCTACAGTCTGTGGGGTCACAAAGAGTTGGACAGGACTGAGCGACTTCACCTCACCTTAGATAATGAAGCAAATCCCTATTGTTTTATTTATTGAGAACAGACATGTTCAAATTCTTAATTTCTGTATGTTTTCTCTCTCCCTCTGTGAAATGAAACATTTGGGAAATCTTGAAACTGGTCAAACTTAAGGAAAAAAAGAAAAAGACTTTTTATGTAGCAATAGTTTTATTCTATATTTCTTGTGATACTGAAAGATGTTTTTCACATTTAAATAAGCAGAGCTATATTTTATGCTTCTCACAGATTGAGGGAAGCATACTTTTAATATTTTATTTTTGATAAGGACTAAAGTGAAAGAAAGTAAAAGTGTTGGTCACTCAGTTGTGTCTGATTCTTGGGGACCTCATGGACTATAGCCCACCAGGCTTCTCTGTTCACAGAATTCTCCAGGCAAGAATACTAGAGTGGGAAGCTGTTCCCTTCTTCAGGGGATTTCTTAACCCAGGGATCAAACCCGGGTCACCTACACGGCAGCTGGATTCTTTATCACCTGAGCCACTAGATAAGGCCTACACACTGTATTACTCAAAAGTTAAAATAAAAAGTCATTGGAAATAATTAGACAATAAGTTAGTATTTATAAATTGGCAGCTTTCTTCTTTTGAGGGCTTGGTTCAGCTTTCATTAGTTGAATTCTATGAATTTAGATCATTTCTTCACTTCACTTTTGTAGCCCTGCTCCCTCATTTTGTCTTAGAATATATATAATATTTTAATTGCAGAATACAATATTCTACTGACTTAAAGTTCTGATTTCTTTTGCTATCCCACCACCGAGGATTCTACAGAATGCTGGGTATTCTCCACTTAATGCTCATCAGTGGTGTTAACCATGTACAGAGCTTTAAACAACTAAGGAATATTTTCTCTACATTTAAAGTCATATGCATGAATGCATTTCTTACCTGACTAAGAATACGGCCACATTTTCTTCCTATTTTTTCCACCAAATCAAAAATTGGAAAATTCCAAGTATTCAGTTGCTCCATAATTGAGTCCAAGTTATCCATGACAAGAGGTTCAGGAGCAAGAATTGGTTTGTCCTATAATGAAGATAAAAATATTTTAACAACATGTAGTTTTTCTACACTGTTCCTTCTTTGGTAAGTTCAACAGTGGAGTTTACCTGAAATAAATGACTTTGGGGTGAATGAGTGATCTTAAAAAAAAAAAGTCAGAAGAAAATATTGGCCCCAAAGTAATGAGAAAAGGTCTTAATGATTCAGACCATGAGTTTTGCATTATGTGCCTGCCTATTGCCGGTTCATCTATGCTACAGAAAAATTGGATGCTTCTTTCATACATTAACATAACTGCTTTTTAGTCTTCTGTGGAATTCTTAAATAAAGATTCAAGGGCTTCAGAACACTCTGAAATTGTATGCAAATTTATTTCTATATATTTATGTAAATTCTTCTGAGATGAGGATTTCTGGCTTATACTGAACTCTAAAAAAAAAAAACCGAAACCCTGAGTAGGGAGAGGGAGTAAATCACCCTTATTCTAATTGGTCCAATTTGTATTATTGCTTCAAAATCAGCATTCATCCTATAGAGTTACAATTACTACAATTTTCAGGTATTTTAATTTAATTCATGTGATGCGTGGTTTCCAAAAACATGCACCAGATATATGTAAAGACAAAAATGTATAATAGGTACCAAATGACATTCTTAAGAGTTTATTTACCAGAAAATAATAATGAGGATAAAGAAACACCTAAGTTATTTTATCTGACAATTTTAAACTATAAATAGTAGGAGGGGATATATATATGTGTGTGTGTGTGTGTGTGTGTGTGTATATATAGTTAGGGAAGAGCCAGGTAACACTAGTGGCAAAGAACATGCCTGCCAATGCAGGAGATGTAACAGATGCAGGTTCAATCCCTGGGTTGGGAAGATCCCCTGGAGGAGGAATTGGCAACCCGCTCCAGTATTCTTACCTGGAGAATCCCAAGGACAGATAGAGCCTGGCAAGCTACTGTTCATAGGGTCACAAAGTTCTGAACATGACTGAAGCGATTTAGCACGCATATGTATAGCTATGATTTCCACTGTTGCATGGTAAAAACCAATACAACATTGTAAAGCAATTATCCTCCAATTAAAAAAATAAATAAAAAATAAAAGTATAAATGACAAATTAGGTAAAAAGGAAATGATAAAAGCAGCAATGGAAAATCACATTACAGTCAACTGTTTTCTGCTATTTATTGCCTCCCCCAGATGAACCAGACTCAAATGTGTGCTTCTGTCCTCTTTAAGTGGAGCTCTTTAAATACACGGAATAAGTGATCACTAAAAAATATTTTAATGAGGAGCAAATGTCAATGTCAACCTGGTTTAATATAACATGGAAAATAAACAGTGGCTCACTCACTAAATCAAGGAGGTGCTAGAAAAAGCCAACAGAAGTCCTAAGATAATGAATAGATTTCATTTTGATTGATTGATATTTATAAAATATTATCTTCCTGATTGAAACAGTTAATTTTCCTAGGCACATTTACATTTTTAGATTGGGTTAAGAAATACTGTAATCAGATGTGGAGATGAACACTTAAGATTTAATCATTAAATAATAGAACTGACCCTATGGGCTGTAGCCTGCCAGGCTCCTCTGTCCACAGGATTCTCCAGGCAAGAATACTGGAGTGGATTGCCATTTCCTCCTTCAGGGCATCTTTCCTACCCAAGGATCAAACCCACATCTTTTAATGTCTCCTGCATGGGGAAGCAGGTTCTTTACTACTAGTACCACCTGGGAAGCCACAATAGAATCTTGAGACCAATAAGACTGAGACAGAGAAAAATAATACAGATATATATAGGAAGGGCTACAAGATACATGTAACCCAAGTAAAACATGATTCAGGGATATATTTCTAAGTCAGTTCCTGTCACAGAAGCCAATTTTTCAAGTAAATGAATGAGATAAGTGATGGGTGCCTACCAGGAACATCATGGTCTCTGGAGCATAGGTGCTGCAAGCTGACGTCTTTCTCAGAGCCTCTCTGGGGCCCTCGGTCTCATCTTCATTCTGAACAATATCACTGCTATCACTGTTGTTATTGGTTTCATAATCAGAGGTAACTTGAGTGATGTCATCTGCAATTAAAAGGCAATAGCCTATTATGAAACTTGCAATGAAAAAAGGGGTCCCATTTAAGCAAATAGTCCTAAAACACATAGTACAGATATCATAGTTAGGAAAATACCATTTTCCTGAGCTTACACACCAAGAACATAGGATCAAAGGGTGGGTGAAAGCACACATTTTTGTTGTTGTTCAGTTGCTAAGTCATGTCCAACTATTTGTGACCCCATGGACTGCAGCACCCCAGGCTTCCCTATCCTTACTATTTCCCAGAGTCTCAGCAAACACATTCATTTTAACCCAATAAAATAGATGGAATTATGATATGTGATTTATATGACATTTAATAATCCCTCAATAATAATGCTCAGGTCAGTAGTTGATACCTCTTCGTCATCCCATCCCATGGATTATAGCCTGCCAGGCTCCTTTGTCCATGGGATTCTCCAGGCAAGAATACTGGGGTGAGTCGCTGTTTCCTTCTCCAGGGGATCTTCCTGATCCAGGAATCTAACTCAGGTCTCCTGCACTGCAGGCAGATTCTTTACCCTCTGAGTCACCAGGGCTGCTAATCCCCAAATCCCACTTTCTCTCTCCCTCACACGCTTTCCTCTTTGGGAACCATAAGTTTATCTTCTATGTCTGTGCATCTTCTTCTGTTTTGTAGATAAGTTCACAGGTATCATATAAACTCCTATGACTTTATATTTCTTTTTCTTTTATGCATGCACCAACACACTAAATTACCAAGCAGCTGACTAGAACCCTAACTCTAGAAATGTCACATGGGCAAGACAATTTGAGGTGATATCCAAGAACAAAGCAACCTGTAGAATATAGAAGCCACAGCATGTGCCAAAGAGCATGGCAGGTCCTTGTATCCAATCTTGGTCCCTGGAGATCTGTGCTCCCTTCCTTCCTTCCTTCCCCATCTCCACTATCTTTCATTGCAGTCAGTACCAAACTCTGCTAATCACAAAATGCATCAGGTAATGTCAAGAGTCTGAAGAACATGCTTCTGGGGTAAAGACCTCAAGAAGCTTCTTGTAGCTGAATAAAACACCTGTCTGAAATTTATGGGGTGCTTGCTACGTGGCAGATACCACAGAAAGCACTTTGTTTGTACAAACATGCTGAATCCTCTCAACAATCCTATGAGGCAGGTATTATTGCATTACTGCATTACTATTATGCTCATTTTACAGACAGGAAACTGAGGCACAGAAAGGCTTAAATTGCCCAAGAGCCCATAGCTGGTAAATCCTACCACCAGAAGCAAACTTATGAAATCTGAGTTCCTATATTCTACTTCTGATGAAATCCAGCTTTGTTTAAAATGGTTATTGCTTTCCATGACCTATGAACTCTTCACCTTTCCCTAAGTCACAAAGATATCTTCCTGTGTTTTCTTTCAGAAGTTTTACTGTTTTAGCTTTTACCATTGGGTCTGTGCGCCATCTCAGGATAAAAGTTGCATATGGTGTGAAATAAGGGGTGAGATTCATTTTTTTTCCAGCCCCTTTGGCTTGGAAAAGTGGATCTTTGTTGAAAGTTCAACAACTGAATAGGTATGGGTCTAATGTGGCACTTTTCTACTCAATTCTATTTGATAATCTTTACATCAGCACCATACTTTCTTCATTATGGTGGTTTAAGTCTTGAAGGAAATTTTGTTCTTTTTTTCCAAAGCTGCTTGAATAGTCTAGGTTTGTCACATGTCCTCATATTGCTGGTGAATAATGGCTTTTATTATGTAGCCTATTCTGATCAGGAGTATCCTGTGGCACATTTTCAAGGACCTGTCTTTCTTTTATCTTTCTCATGCAACTACTTCTATGTTAGAATCAGACACAATAACTATAGAAAATGTAATTGATAAGTCTCAATCCCAGAATCTGCAGAAAAATGAAGCACACTCAAAGGCCATATAGTTCTACAGGAGACCAAAGGTGATAAGGAAACACTCCTAATTCTATCAGCCTCAGTAGAGTCAGGGAAGATCAGGGATATAGAAGAGAGAATATTCTGAGTCTTCAGTGTACCATATCATATAATGGCTACACAGAGAATCCTCCTTTTAATTTCTTCTTGCCTATGTCCCTGGACCTTTGTCCACAACCATAGCACATCATTCTCGGAGGCAAATAATCAGAATTTGTTGTGTATTAAAAGATGTTGGAGCAGATAATTAAGACCCATTCTTAGATCACTCTATCATCATAAAGTCTAACGTTCGTGTGTGTGTGTGTGTGCGCACACGTGCTCAGCTGTGTCTGACTCTTTGCAATCGCATGGACTATAGCCTGCCAGACTCTTCTGTCCATGGAATTTTCCAGGCAAGGATATTGGAGTGGGTTGCCATTTGCTACTCCCAGGGGATATTCCTGACCCAGGGGTCAAACCCTGGTCTCTTGGGTCTCCTGTATTGGCAGGCAGATTCTTTACCAGTAGCGCCACCTGGTTTCCTATCTTGTGAACTTGCAGCAATAACAAAAGCAAGTCCCTAGGGTTACACCAATAAAAATAAAATAATAATTATTACAATAATTATGGTAGCAAACACTTACTCCTTACAGTGACCCAGATACTGTAATAAATGCTTTATGTGCTTTAGTAATTTAACTATCTATAATCCTGTTCCAGTAGGAGCCTTATTATCTCTATTCTACTGATGAAGGAACTAAGACACAGAGATTACAGACAAGTCAGAAGCAGAATCAGGATATAAATCAGGCTGCAATGCCTATTTTTCTGAGCCTCTGTAATACTGCCTCAAGAAAAACTATGGTTTTTACCTCCCAAACTCACAGTAATCTAAGCAGGCTCTGAATTAGTAATCTAATTCTCAGGCTCTGTGATGGAGATCCCCAGAACGTATCCTAAGATAGATGACCCTCCCATGTCCAAGATAAAATAGCATTTCTATAGCGTTCTATACACTATAGAAAATGGTGTATCATTTAAAAATATATTCATTTGTGTATAGACACATAAACATTTTTGATAGCTTTGCATCAAAACGTAACCCATGATTAACTCTAGGTAGTAGGACTATGGATGATTTTGATTTCCTTCATTGTCTTTTTAAACTTGCGATCTAAAAAAATCAGAAACATATGTTACCTTTTTCTGATCAGAAAAAAAAAAATCTAGCAGAGCAATTTCCATTTTGAGGAACAGAATCCAAAGAAGAATTACCTGTTCTGCTTGGTGTCCGAATGGCCGCCCCACTTCTTTCCAGGGGCCCATCGGCAGAAGTCCCTTGGGAATATGGTCTGCCACAGCTGAGAAATAATGGAACAGCTGTAAGTAGGTCCTTTCTTTTCAGAAAACTGTAGGCACACACCATGTATGTATACATTAAGATAAATAACAGTCAAATATTCTGGCACTCTACTTATTCCTTTGATGGAAAAAAATCATGTTGTCTTATGCAAGGACATTGAAATGTGGGATACTGTTTTGGGCAGTGGTAAGGAAAGCAAGTTAAAAAGCAGAGACATTTCTTTGCCAACAAAGCTCCGTGTAGTCAAGGCTATGGTCTTTCCAGTAGTCATGTATGGATGTGAGAGTTGGACTATTAAGAAAGCTGAGCACTGAANTGGGAAAGATTGAGGGTAGGAAGAGAAGGGGATGACAGAGGATGAGATGGTCAGATGGCATCACCAACTTGATGGACATGGGTTTGGGTGGACTCCACGTGTTGGTGATGGACAGGGAGGCCTGGCGTGCTGCAGTTCATGGGGTTGCAAAGAGTCAGACATGACTGAGCAACTGAACTGAACTGAACTGAGGGAAAGCATAATCAATACAAAGGATCAGATACTCTGTTCAACTCTCATGCTCTTCCACAATCAAGATCATATTTGAGGTGAAATGAAACTGTTGATAACTTCCTCTCATGTTATTTAGAGAATCCTGGGATAGTCAGCTACATACTTACAGCAGTGATTTTGGAAGTGCCCATGTGTATTTGGTTAAAAATATCTTTCCCAGTGGAATCACTTTGTGTCTGCTAAAAAGCTTCATGATTAGATTTATTTCTGTGGGTTATGTCCAAAAAGCCCTTTAAAAAATGACTGCAAACATGAAAATAAAAAATGGTAGATTATTTTTATTTTTTGCCATAAAATTTAATTAATTGTTTTCAGATGGATCAGTTCACCTGTTAAGGCCCTATGGAAATGAATAAAGGATACATACATTTTGACAAACAGTGGATATACACCTGACCACACAGGACACAAGTTGAGAAAAACAGATCAAGGGAGTATACTGTGCGTAACGGAGAAAAAGGGCTTCCCTGGGGGCTCAGTGGTAAGGAATCTGTTTGCCAATGCAGGAGATGTGGGTTCAATCTCTGGGTTGAGAGGATGTCCTGGAGAAGGAACTGGCTACTCACACCAGTATTCTTGCCTGGAGAATCCCAGGGACAGAGGAGCCTGGAAGGACAATCCATGGGATTGAAGAGTCGAATATCAACAATGGAGAAAAATGAAGGTCCTTGAGAGGTGGGCAGGGTTCTTTAAGAGAGGAAGTTGGAGGAGGCAGGCTACTTTTGCTTTCTCAACAGTTTTGACTGTTTAATAAATTACAAAGTAATCCTACAAATGGTCTGGCAAATTTCTTCTCTCACTTATCTTGTTTAGAGACTTGATTAGGTTTTAGTTCTGTATTTTGTTTCTGGGTTCTTTCATTCTGCCTAATATTATTCATACAAAGGGTCTCAGAGAACTTTTGTTTATTTGCTATTTAGCCACAAATTACTTACTCTAAATGGAAAAGAGAAGAATCACAGTTTATAATTGAATATATTAAATATCTCATCACTTTTTCCCCTTGAATTGTGTTTATATGTGTAGTAGAGATAAGCATTTCCTAGTTAGAGTGTTTTCATCCAAAGCATATTTATTTTTCAAGCCTTGAATGTCAGTGGAAAGCATCACATACAAAATATTTCTAATTATGAAATCCTGCCAGTCTGATTTAGGGACTCAAAAGAAAATGACAGAACCGAAGGAAATGTAAATGATGGGCTTATGTTCTGGGATGAAACTTGGTAAAAGTAGTTTACTAGTCTGAAGATTTTTCTTTGCAAGATAATACTTGAAAGGAACGTTTAAATTAGGAGTTCAAATAGACTACCTCTCCTGCCAGAAAAACAGCTTGTTGCATAGACATTACAGCAGCCAAGAGACCCGGATTCAACGCCAAGCCCTTCAAGTTCAGCAGGGAAAACCACAATAATTAGTCGTGTGTTTCTGGAGCTCTCTGTACCTACATGGGTGGCTGCCTTGAAGGCAATAATAAAACATGGTTTGAATTATAGATTTATAAAGCCCCAGCAAATAAAACACACACTACTGGATTTATAAACATTACTGAACAAGTAGGCAGTGAAATTCCCTTGTTTTTCTCCAAAACCTCTTTTATAAAAATCCCATTACATTCTTTCTGCTAAGAATACAAAAAAAAGTTTATAATTGAATATATTAAATATCTCATCACTTTTTCCCCTTGAATTGTGTTTATATGTGTAGTAGAGATAAGCATTTCCTAGTTAGAGTGTTTTCATCCAAAGCATATTTATTTTTCAAGCCTTGAATGTCAGTGGAAAGCATCACATACAAAATATTTCTAATTATGAAATCCTGCCAGTCTGATTTAGGGACTCAAAAGAAAATGACAGAACCGAAGGAAAAAGTCCATAGATGTAAATGATGGGCTTATGTTCTGGGATGAAACTTGGTAAAAGTAGTTTACTAGTCTGAAGATTTTTCTTTGCAAGATAATACTTGAAAGGAACGTTTAAATTAGGAGTTCAAATAGACTACCTCTCCTGCCAGAAAAACAGCTTGTTGCATAGACATTACAGCAGCCAAGAGACCCGGATTCAACGCCAAGCCCTTCAAGTTCAGCAGGGAAAACCACAATAATTAGTCGTGTGTTTCTGGAGCTCTCTGTACCTACATGGGTGGCTGCCTTGAAGGCAATAATAAAACATGGTTTGAATTATAGATTTATAAAGCCCCAGCAAATAAAACACACACTACTGGATTTATAAACATTACTGAACAAGTAGGCAGTGAAATTCCCTTGTTTTTCTCCAAAACCTCTTTTATAAAAATCCCATTACATTCTTTCTGCTAAGAATACAAAAAAAAAAAAAAAAAAAAAAAGACTGCGGTGAGCAAAGCTACGGGAGTGGTATAATACGTCTTTTCTGGACTCCTCAGTTCTTTCTATGGGCAACTGATTTCTCACAAGTCTGAGGCTCACAGTGGGAGTGTCTCCCTAGAAATGCTGCAAGCAGATGTCATAGAGTCTGGGGACTCCCTTGGGTTTCATCTGGGCCCAGGATGCACACCACAAAAAAGTGTTTCTTCAGGGTGTTCCCCCAGACACTAGTTTCATGGGCAATTATTGGGTGTTAACCTAAAGAAATGGGTTCTGTGGTCAAATAAAGTCAGGAGATGCCAGACGAAACAAAACTCAAGGCGTTGTCTTTTTTGCAGGACTTCTCAGAGCTTGCAATAAAGTGATGTGTGTTGTAAATCACTAAAAGGAAAATAGGATAGGCCTGTTTACCACAGAAAAAGACGGGATTAACATCCCAAGGGAATGATTGTATTGCAAATGGTGTTATGCAGAGAGCAGCAGAGTAAGTTTTGGATGGTGGAGCAAATTTTCACCCCGGTCCTAACCGAACACAAATTATCTTCCTTTTGAAAGTATTTGTAAAGAGAAAAGAAGCAAAAATAAAGATTATAAAAATAATTATTTAACACAGAATTTATGAACAAAGCGTAGGAAAATGAAATTTGTGAGGCTTAAATTTGAATTCACTGGTCAAATCTGGGTCTGTGACCCAGTATTTAATATAAGAAGACCAACATGTAACTAATTTATTCAAACAGTTATCATCATTCATCTTAGGGGGAAAATAACATTTTATTCAAGGCACTCTCATAATTATGCTTAATTTTAAAACACTCTTTTCTACTTAAAAAAATTGCAAAGCTTTAAAGCAGTTATTCAAGATGAAGCTATTGCTGAAGAACAATAATATGTTAATTGGTGGAGGAGGTATTCCTTTTTTAGTGACAATACAGACAAAATAATTAATCTTGCCATGTTAGATCCTTTTTCTTATCCCCTGTAAGAGACAACACTTTGTCTCTCTGTTTAAACATGACAGAGCAGCACAGGCAATTGCTTCATTGTATTCAGAGATCCTTTTGAGAAAAGTCACAATGTGCCACATGTTATCTGCACATTTTTTAAGTGTCACAATGGGAAATGCAAACTTAAAAAAACAGTACCTTTAAAATCGGTATAAAATTCTCCCTGGAGAACAAGTAAAAAAATATCCCAACAAAATACCAAATTATACTGAATGACTCGATAGGAGTTTTTAATTAGATGTTTTATACATTAGATGTTTGAACAGTAAGCAGATAAAATATACAACTAATTATTTTATATCAGCACCAAAGACATGTATGGAACATAAGGTCTCTAAAACTCTTATTAATGGAGAAGCATTGAAAATTAAGTTTCTATTCCAGCCTATTCAGCACAGACCACACTATCTTGTATGTTCTTGTCAACTACTTAGGCAACTTACACAAAGTTATGTGGCCTGTGGTGAGGGTTCCTAAGAGGAAAACCAGTGTTAGTTTTATTATTACCTAGACTCCAGTGAACAACATAAATTCCTTACCTGCTGCATATGACAGGCGGATTCAGGATCTGAGGAGAAAGATCAGGGGCACTCTGTGTGTAAGTTAAGGCCCGGTGAGAACTTAGGCCTGATTTGGCAGTTGCCTCGGAAGACTCTGGAAACTGCACTGAAGAAAGTTTGCTGACTGGGCTGCTGGCGGGGGTCCCATGGAGAGGTGAAGAACAGGGTGAGGAAAGAGGTGAAATTTTCACTAGGGAACCTAATAAAGAAAGAGAGAATTGTTAAGTCTTAAGTAAATGTCTTTGAAAGTCAAACTTGCAGCTCTTAGCCTTCCCTTTGGATTCCTTTTAACTCAGGAAGGACCATGTGAGTCCTCAGACCACAGGGCCGGCCTTCTCTGCAGACAGGCTGCTCAGCGGGGGCATCACCGCAGCATGAAATATGAGAAATGAATCATCACGAAAACTCAGTGGCAATGCTGGCAAGTTCAGTTAAAGCCCTGGTGTCCTGGAGTAACTTCAGGACAGAAAGATATTATTTTCTAATTTTTATTGGAGTAGAGTTGATTTACAATGCTGTGTTAGTACATCAATGTGAATTAGCTACACACACACACACACACACACACACATATATATATATCCACTTTTTTTAGATTCTTTTCCCATATAGGCCATTGCATAGTATTGAGTAGAGTTCCCTGTGCTATATAGCAGGTTACTATTAGTTACCTATTTTATATATAGCAGTGTGTATATTTCAATTCCAATCTCCCAATTTATCCCCGCCCCCTTCACTTATACTCTGGTGACCATAAGGTTGTCTACATCGGCAACTACATCAAACATGTTCATTTGTAACCTCCCCTCCCTCCTTTTTTTTGTAGATTCCACCTATAAGCGCTATCATATGATATTTGTCTTTCTGCAGAAAGGTATTATTTTCTCCTCTCCTCTTTGTTTCTTCTTGGCATTCTGACCTGATGATAATAGTTAAAAATTTCTCATATGTTTGCCTTCTCTTTGGTTATGAGGTTTTTAGTAGCAACAGGATCTGCCGTAGTTTTCAACATTACTGTATGTGGAGCAGAGTTTTTTGGCAGGCATTGGTTGCTTAGTGGTGGTGATGGTTTAGTTGCTAAGTCATGTCTGATGCTTGTGACCCCGTGGACTGTAGCCTGCCAGGCTCCTCTGTCCATGGGATTTTCCAGGCAAGAATATTGGAGTGGGTTGCCATCTCCAGGCAATCTTCTTGACCCAGGGATCAAACTTGTGCCTCCTGCGTCACAAGCAGATTCTTTATCGCTGAGCCACCACTGGTTGCTTAAAATATGTCAATGAAGAAGATCCATTTTTGAGGGGCTTTATTAACCATCCAGATTTTCAGTGAAACTAACTTTTGTGTGTCAGAAACTGTTTGGATCAGCATCATTTCTGAAGAAAACATTGAAAAATGTAACATGATCCATTTCAGATGAAACGATGGCCTCAAGCTCAAATGATAAGTGTGGACATTTGTGCCAAATTGTGTTTACTCTCGGTTGTGAAAATTTTAAAGAGCACTGGCATCAATTTCCAAGCGCTGACGTCTGAGGACCGGGATGATGTCTTTTGAAGTTACTCTCTCCAAATACAGAGAGAGCAGTCTGCCCTAAAACTGAAGGAGAGAGAGAGAAAACTTCTAAATAGCCTCCTGCTTACTATTTCTCATGACTACATGGCTAAACAGTCTACTGTAAAGCAAATAAAATGAAATCCTTAAAAGTCAGTTTTCTATTGCTCATCACTCTGGGGAGATGTACAGTCAGCGATATTCACATCACTGAATAAGATGTGTGGTGACCTGGCAGTTGGCCTAGTTTGCTTCCAACGTCCAGTTCTCTCAAAAGTTTTATTTGTCACACCCAGAGGTTTTCTGGTCCACTGAAAGGAATATTAGGCTTGTTGACGGGCTTTTATAATGTTTAAGTTTCTTGTTAGCACTGCTATTTCTTGTTTTGTCTACTTTAAAAGATAAGAAATTATACTCTTCCTTTGATTAAATGTAGAGGCCAGTTACCCCTCCAAGTCCTTTTCTCCATATTTCTATGGATTCCTGATCAACAGCTCAATGCCAGCCTATGTTGAACAAATGAAACCACTTTGACCCAGGAAGATTAAATAACTTCCCCAGGGTTACAGTGAGAGGAAATAGAATATGGAGTGGGCCTAGCATTCTTGGTAGATTGTGCTTTATTAGCACATCATTCTATCAAAAACTACCCAACAAGGAAGGAAAATTTATTACCTACTAGGTTCCATCTGTTTTGCTCTTTATAATCACATAGCTTATGGTTTTCATTTTGATTTCTATTTCTATTGAAAAGATTTATTTTACCAAAGAAAAATCAAAGTGTTAGTCGTGTTTGACTCTTTGCGACCCCATGGACTGTAGCCCACCAGGCTCCTCTGTCCACTGGATTCTCTATTCAAGAATATTGGAGTAGGTAGCCATTCCCTTTTCCAAGGGATCTTCTTAACCCAGGGATCGAACCTAGGTCTCCTGCATTGCAGGCAAATTTTTCACTGTCTGAGCCACCACTGACAAACTATCTCATATAATTTCCTGAACCAAAAGACAACTAAGTACACTAGATTTTTAACTCACTGTTTCCCAACCAACCTATCGTGTGCAGCAAATAAGTTAAAAGTGTTCTGGAAGCACTAACGGTTTTACATTTTTTATCAATTTGAGTGCTCCAGGATAAATTAAATTTTACTATGATCACTAATGTAATTTTCTTATCATTATTATAAAATAAATACAATTTTCACAAACCTCTCAATTCTTTTCATTTCACCACAGCTATATAACATCATATTTGCACATATCATTATACAAATATATAAGCTCTCATATAAGAAAGGTTAAAAAATGCTAGTTTAATTTATACTGTTTATTAAATTAAGGCTGACTGAGTCTCCAGATAATCTTAGAAAAGCAGCTTAACCATTAAGGAGTTGGGTACTAGTTTGATGTGGTTTAAAGATTATCAAGGTATTTGCACAGAGTAAGTATCCCAATGATCTGTTCATTTAACAAATATTGATTGTGTGACGCATGCCAGGGAGTAAAGGATGCGGTAGTGAATGAAAGAAAATTCCCTGCTCTTGGAGCTTTCAGGGGAGACAGAAACTAAAGAAAGAAGAGAAGGAGGAAGAAGAAGAAAGCAGGGTGGGGAAGAAAAGAAAGTCAGGGAATTTTAACTGATACAAAGAAACTATTATATAGAGTGAAGTAAGTCAGAAAGAGAAAGACAAATATTGCATATTAATGCATATATATGGAATCTAAAAAGATAGTACTGATCACCCTACTTGCATAGTAGCAAAGAAGACACAGACACGTTGGATACAGTGGGGGAAGGAGGAGGTGGGATGATGAGAGAATAGCACTGAAACATAAACATTACTATATGTAAAACAAATAGCCAGTGGGAGTTCGATGTATGATGAAGGGAACCCAAAGTCAGTGCTCTGTGACAACCTAGAGGGGTGGAATGGGGATGGAGGTGGGAGGGGGATCAAGAGGGAGGGGACATATGTATACCCATGGCTGATTCATGTTGATGTATGGCAGAAACCATCACAATATCGTAAAGTAATTATCCTCTAATTAAAAATAGACAAATATATACACACACAAAAATAAATACATTTCACACCCAGAAAACAAATAATGCAGAGGGGAGAGGATCGAGAAGGACAGAATGCACTAAGGGTAACATTTGAACAGAGACTTGATAAAATAAGGAAGACATATAGATAAGTATTGGGGAAAGCATGTTCCAGAAAGAGGGACCTACTCAGGGGTTGTCAGAGGATCAGTTAGGAGGTCAGTGTGACTGCAGGTTAGCAACGAGGAAGGAAGGGCAGGGAACATGGTCAGAGTGATGGTAGGGCAAGGTTGTGTGGGGCTGGCCAGGTCATGGCGAAGTTTTAATTACTGCATTTTTTTTTTTAAGGAATTATCTTTTTTGTGCTGGTGGTTTTTTGTTTGTTTTGTTTAGCTGCATTGCAAGGCATGAAAGATCTTAGTTTTCCGACCAGGGATTGAAACCGTGGCCCCTGCAGTGGAAGCACAGTGTCTTAACTACTGGATCACCAGGAAAGTCCCAATTGGGTGGTGCTAAGTGGTAAAGAACCTGCCTGCCAATGCCAGAGACATAGAGATGTGAATTTGATCCCTGGGTCAGGAAGATTCCCTGGAGGAGGGCATGGCAACCCACTATAGTATTCCTGCCTGAAAAGTCCTATGGACAGAGGAGTCTGTTGCCTACAGTCCATAGGGTCACAAACGATCCATACAGTCCATAGAGCAGGACATGAATGAACGACAGGGCGCACACACACACACACACCAAAGAGACTCCTGACAGGCGCCTGGCTGGAATTGCTGAAATTCCGCATTAGGCAATTTCTTAATTATCCTGATAACTAATTGTGAGTTTGGGGATAGTTTCCTAGCACTTTTTAAAAGTAGTTGAAAGCCTGTGGGAACATGATCCATTTCTGTCTGCACACAATATATTTTCTGAAGGCAATTTATGAGAGGAGTGATTTTCTTCATTGTTGATTTTTAATAGCTGCCAGCTGATTCTCTCAGAGACACGCAATTCGCTCTTAAAAATACAAATTTAAAAATCCACTCAACGATTTGGGTTCTTGGAACTCAGGGATTAACAAAATGTAAAACAAATAAGCAGAACTAAAGACTCCAGACTTACTGCCTGGGATGAAATGTCAAATGAACCTTGCAACAGAGGAAAAACACTTTGCTTCTGCAGGGCTGTGAGGTTACGTGTTTTGAACTATCTGAACAAGCAGGGGTCTTGGCAACTCCATGAAAAGCAAGAATATTTTTACTCTGCAGGTGAGAAGATAAAGGCATAAACACATAAATTTCTTTTTCCTCAAGCCAAACTATTTCTCAGTGTGCCTTATCATGGCTTACTTAAAATTTTAAAAGCAGAAATGGTTAGGAATGCTGTAGAAAATGGCCATATATTTACATATATTAGTCTTCAAATAGGAGAGATGACAAGTGTAGATAATAACCAAACAAAAGAAGTGAAAGTGAAAGTTGCTCAGTCATGTCTGACTTTTTGTGATCCATGGAATTCTCCAGGCAAGGATACTGGAGGGGGAGCCTTTCCCTTCTCCAGGGGATCTTCCCAACCCAGAGGTTGAACCCAGGTCTCCCACATTGCAGGCAGATTCT